GTCTGTCGGAAGCTATGCGTGCCAATCTCCTGGTGGAGCTCTCGGGCCTTAGTCGCCAGGAGCAGTTGATGGTTAAGACCGCCGCGCGGTCACAGACCACTGACGAATATGCACGCGTGTTGGTGCAACACCATAGTGTGCTGCACATGAAGGAGCGCCTCCTCACCGAGAAGCCCAATGCGCAGAGGACAGGGTATAAACCCTGGGGTGACAGGCAGTACAACAGCACGCCCAACGAACCCGACCAGGGTACCGTCCCTGAGGAAGACTTCGCTGATGCCGCATATCCGGCATTGGATTCTGCTCACGACGATAACTCGTGGGTAGATGACGAGGACGTCGCAATGCAACTCAATGCGTACGCTGCTATCTCTGAAGAGCCAAAGGTAGATGAAGTCGGCGAGGAATTCGCCGAAGCTGTCCAACTTGCCTATGCCGCGACTAGTACGATGAATCAGGCGAAAGGAAAAGGCAAAGGCAAAGGAAAGGACAAGGACGGCAAAGGAAAGTCCGGTGGCAAGCTGGTGAGGTCTAACCTCACCATAGCAGACCGTAAAGCTAAGCTCACAGAGCTTAAGAGTAAAAGTCGTTGCTTGAGATGTGGTGTTGTCGGCCATTGGGCCGGCGATGCGGAATGCAGATTTAAGGGCAACGCAAAAGGCGTGCCAGGCAAGCCGTCAACGACCCCAGCACCGTCTGGGGGGCCACCTAAGACACAGTCTGCTCCGAAGCCCCAGGCTTACATGGCTGTTGAAGAGTCGGATGGCGATGACGAGGTTGTGGTCTTGAGCAACTCGGGCTCGCCGTCGCATGGCTACAGGGCTATGAAGGCCCCGCCTTCCGAACCCGGGAAGGCCGGGGCGTTATGTCTCCCCAGCTGCGCCGCTCGGCGGCGTCCGCTGCCATGGAACGGGTGCTATGCACGTACCCGGGGTATGTTTTGTGGGGGCAGCGTGAAAAGTGCCCATCCAAAGGCCTGGCGGACTTTCTGGCCTGGGTACATGAGTATTTCATAGCCACTGACTCCGGAACCCATAGAGGTTACGCGACGGGCGCAGCCGTTGAGCAGCATCCCAGCTCCCGTGCTCGAGCAGCCCGTGGCATCGTCCACGGCGGGGCCCGCCTTCTACGTCACCTGCCGAGGTGGGTGCAAGGAATTCAGCAAGTCTGGCAGTAGCGGTAGCGCATACATAGCTATGCGGACCTGTCAGAAGTGCGGAGCCGTCACTAAGACGTAAAAGGAAAAGGCCGTGGTTGATCAATCCACGTGTTTGCATGGGGTGACTGAGAGGACAGGCTCCAGTCGTAAGACGAGCCGCCTTAGATGCAAGTTGTGCGGTATGCTCCTAGATGAGCAACCGCAGGAGGAGCGCAAAAAGCGTTCCGAGATCGTTTCCGCGGTGCAGGAGTCTAACACCCTAGATTTTGACCTTATGCGATCCATAGCGAGCCGCACTAGCGAAGACCTGCCCGTGGAGGTAGTGGTCCCCGCCATAGACCAGTTCAAAGAAACTGTCCCCGCCATAGACCAGTTCAAAGAAACTGTGGAAGGCCACTTTGTTACCGAACCCTCCATAACGAAGGGTGACCTGATAGCGTACCTACAGGAGGCCATAGAAGACCAGCTGCCCCAGGAATCCCACAACAATTCCTGGGAGATAGCCTCCGCCTCCGCTGGCGCCCGCTCGCGATCGTCGAGGCACGGGTATGTTGCTTTGATGTCGGGGAATTCAGTCACAGACACTCACCCCGCACTAGATCCCCTTCCCGTAGTCGATATATACGACTCGCCAGGCGTTTTTGCGGTTTTAGATGAGGGTTGCAACAGTACGGTCCACGGTACTGAATGGATTGCTAACGCTGCCCGTAAGCTCTCCAACCTTGGGTATAGTACCAGGTTTTCGTCGAATGCCGCTAGAACGTTCAAGGGGCTTAGTGGTGAGACTGAGACCCTTGGGGGTAGACACATTCCTTTCTCCATAAGGGGATTGGACGGCGAAGCTAGGGTTCCAGGCGTTTTGGAGTCCCACGAGATAAAGGGCACAGCACCCTTGCTTCTTTCGCTTTATGCGCAAGCGCAGCTAGGCATTAGCAAAGGCCTCCGCACCAACCTGTATGGAGTTAGGATGCCCTCGTCTGACCAACTCATACCCATACAGATGTACGTGACGAAAGACAGTGGGCTGTTATGTATAAACTTAACAGAGGGTCTAACGATGCCCAAGCAACCAAGGCTAAGAAGAACCTTTAAGATCCCGGAACCCCCGGTGGCATTGAACGTCCGGGCAGCCGCTACAGACCAAGGCGGCGGTGCACATGTGCATAGGAACACATGCACAGTCAGTGGCACATGCACGTCGAGTTTGTGGAGCATTGCAGATTTATACTCAATGTGCTCATCGATTGCATCCACACCGGCGTGGAGGTTGTTATAATCTTTCTGTATTGTGCAAGAGCAACAGACATAGGTCTGTTGGCGCCGGGTATCTTCTCGGCGAACTTTGCCACTACATTATAAGAAAACAACTGTGAGTATAACTCACATGGAGTCGGCCAAGACTTGGCCCAAGATGCCCTTCAAGTCGTGCAAGGGCCGCTGCGCGTCTTGCTCACGCCACACCATAGAGTGTTGGGTCGACATTCAGGACATCCTCGACGGCTTCGTGAGGAAGGTGAAGGCGAGGGGAAACGTCGATAACCGCTGCATAGTGGTGGCCGAGCCAGCCGCTGCTAGGCCGGGCGTGGAGACTTATATGGAGAGGATCCACGCGGAGTGTGCAGCAGCAGCGGAGGAAGCCGCAGCGGCGGCTGAGGCGGCAGCATCGTCTGCCAGTGCAAGCGCCGCCGGCGTGGCTGGTGCGACCAGGACAGCAGCACCGCCTGCTGGAGCAGCATCCTCGGCTATGGACGTCGACGACGACGACTCCTACGTCGTATACCGCCCGAGCACGCAGGCTGGGATCCCCTGGACTTAGCTCCTAGGGCGGGTGAGACTGCTTATCAAGCAGCCGTAAGGATGCAGTTGAAGGGCCGTAGGCATACATCCTACGTAGCAAAGTGGGGCGACCCCAATAGCCTCACAGCGGTGATGAATAGGGCCACATGCTGATAGCACCGTGACTTTCATGTCCAATGCGCCCCCCAGGTGCTGCTTCGTCCACAGCGACGAAGTCCGCAGCCCCAGTGGCTTCAGCGCCGACATATGCGGCGCCGACGCCAAAGGTGACCCAAGGCTTGGGTTCGAATGCCGGGTGGGATAGCCTCCCGTTGGCGCCGTCAGGTATCCCAGCAAAGGCGCCGCCGGTGATCGCGAAGGCCAAGGTGGTGTTCAAGCCTGCCCCTGCAGATCTCGGCAGATGCAGCGCCCGCAGTGCCTGCCGCTGCACCCGCAGCCCCTGCGTTCCCGGCTACAAAGGCGCCGGCGGTTGATGCCAACAAGGAGCTCATCGGAAAGCTCCGAGCAGAGAAGGAGGCGTTGCTATAGGTGAAAACACCCGCCTCGTGGCCCGTCTCACGTGACACCCAGTATGATCTGGAGGAAGCCAACCGGCGCGCATATCGCGCCAAGCGTCAGCTCGATGAGCTTCAGGCCAGGCGCTCGAGGTCCCGCAGGAGGCGCAGCTCATCCAGCATAGAAGCAGGGTCCGGGAAAGGTCCGCCCGTGCGGAGAGTAGCAGCCACCATAATAAAATACGTACCGCGCGGTGGGGCCGGGATGAAGCTGTCGAGGCACCGAGGAGAGAGCGGAGTCGCCTCCGCCCCCTCCACCGGCGTATCCGCCGCCTCCTTACGAGCCGCCAGCTGCACCGCCAGCTGAGCCTGCAGCGACGCGGGCCCCAACCTTCGATGGCGGTCCCCTGACAGCCATTCGTCAGCGTCTACGCCCTACGCTTTATGGATGACGAAGACTATGGCGCGACCGGTCGAGGACGCACGACGCCGCCGGAGCCACCGAAAGCTCGGAAGACTTTCAGGCCCGAAAGCAAGGGCGGCTACAGCGACCTCCCCAGTAGGGAGGATCCTCACCAAGCGCGGGATTACTTCAGGACCTGGACACCCTCCGAATGGAGGGAATTCCGCAGGATGTACCCGCGCCCACCGAGGCCTGGCAAGATCATCCCCATCGACGAGGAGATGAGGAGCGTGGAGATAGCCGGCGGCATAGACCGGACTGGCGACGCAGGCCTTGGTTGGAACCGAAGCATAGACTTCGGTGCATTCCCCGACCGCGTCCTCACCGAGTCCCTACGGGATGCCCCCGAGCAGCACTCCCGGCGAAGCCGGCGACGCCGATCGCTCGTGCCCGTCAGCACCGATGACGAGGGAGCAGAGGTCTCTATATGGTCCTCTGGCAGTATCCACTAGCGTTTGCATCGGACACAGTTCCGATGGACCTCACAGATCGTGAGGAGCTTAGCCGCGCTTTGGTGGACACGCCCGACGCGGGAGCATACATGGCTGTCCGCGCTGTGGGGGCCGGGGCAGGGCTTGAGGATGAAATCAGATTGGCAGTTCCTGGGGATGAAGAGGGCGATTTCACCAAGGTGGAGTTCCAGGAATCGATGCCAGAGATTTCGACTCACTACAACGTTAGGACTGGCCTGAGAAAGCTGAGCAACTCCCAGCGGTCCCAGCGTAAGCGTGTGCTTCAGGGTCTGCATGAGTTAGTTGCAGCAGATGAAGTCCTAAAGAGCCTTTGCAAGAACGCAACACTCCGACTACCTCATGCCTTTTGAAGAGATTGCCTCCGCACAGATCGTGAGCGGCGCCATCGCCGCCCACGCGGCAGGGCCGCCAGGCCTTGTGGTCGTGAGAAGCTCAAATCCCACCGAGGGTTTGTGTCTTGAGTTGGAGGGTCTTAGTGAGATGACAGGCGTGCACATAGTGCTCGTCGGTCGTTATGGGAGTAGCGCTTTAGAGACTGTTGCCGAGTTGAGGGGTGACTTGAATATTTCGGGAATAGGTCCGAAAATTTCTGAAGTTCTGCCCGTCCTTGTGGCTTGGACTGAGAGCCATGGTTGGACCCCCCGATGTTATGAAGATACCAAGGGCTCTGACTTTTGGTACACCTCTGAACATATTTCAGAGGGATTATATTTGGATTCCTTCACGAGGTATTGCTTCACAGGTGATCAGGACACAGATCCTGAGGATGA